CACTACTCTCACACACCGCCAACCTTCACAGAGTGTAGCATTGAATTATTCAGCCTTTGCGGCAGCTCGGCCGGCACACAGGAAAGCTTGGCTGTAGTTGATAAACAGGTGGGTAAGCATGCACGCACTCAAAAGTATGAGTGTATATGTTTTGTTTGCATCTGTGTACGTGTTTGTGTGCATGTGTTTGTGCACAAAACCCAATGGAGAAAGGCTGGGCGTTTTACGGCGTGTCGAGGAACGGCGCCGTGGCATGCCAGCCTCATTTCCACAGCACAAGGTCGGCAACTCTCCACAACACAGCCAGGCACTGCTTCTCGCTCCTCATACATCTTATTATGGCTGAGCTGTGCACTGGCACATGCACACAACTACACTTACAAATCCTCGCAAACACATGCATGCACATGCATACAAACACACAAGCAGCTACGTGCACTCACACAGCAGGTATGTGTGTAGCAAAGGCCACAGCGCAAGAGTGAGAGAGCGAGAGAGACAGAAATGGAGACAGAGGGAGACGGAGGCAATTGAGAGGGAGGGGATCTACTTAGAGTGTTGACATTGCAGGAGCCCACATGTGTGTGCCAGAGCATAATCTTCTCCCTGCTCTCATTGGGTTTTTAATGCGGGTGCTATTTCCATAAACCTGCCTCCTGAATCACTGCCAGCCTCTTACACTCCCCCCAGGTCGAGCTGTACTAATACTAGGAGTAAATGCATGCAGCAAACACATTTCCACCAATGCCTCTCCAAGACAATCACTGTTGTACACAATGCTAGCATGACAAAAAGGGGAGGGTGGCATGTTTTTCTATGCTACGGCGAATAGACTTGCTGCAGCAACTGAGATTTTCTTGGATCTGCTGGATTTGAGGAGTGGCAGTGAGAGGACAGAGAGTTTGAGGAGGGGGGGTTGAGGATTGAGGGAGGGGGATGGTTGGGTGGATAGTGTGAAGGATGCAGGATTTTGTCATGATGCTGAGCTGGGTGGAGTAAATCTCCTGCGGACTTGTGTAGAGAGCTGTGACAAAAGCACACTCACCAACTGCTGTAGAAACAGCCACCATGGGCCTTAACTGTCGGCCTGTTTCTGTTGTACGTTTTTCAAAAAGAATAAGTACGTCATAAAGGGATCGTCAGGAAAACATTTTAGTGTCCAAGTCATCAAGGGACGCTAAGATTTTACTTGGTGAGAGAAAAAGACTGACGCTCGGGTTTTAAAGTTAACACACACAAGCATATTCACATACACAAAAGCACTCATATGGTTATGTAACATAAAAAGTAGTGCATCTCCATCAGCAGCAAACAAGCACGAAACAGCACACAAATAATATATTCAAGCCTCACTGTCGTGGGCGGTGTGTGATCACGGCACGCTGCCATGTGCACATGTTTTTCTTCCCACCTTTATGCACTGCTATCTGTATGTACATAGGGCTGGCTGCAATGCAAAGCCAGCTTACCACACACGCACAAATACACACAGCTAATAGAGCCAAGCAACGCACACCTGGTAAACTGTCAGAGCTTCTCCTATTCAGTGGCCAAACTTATGTCAGGCACTCGTGTCCCCAAGGCTCCCATCACACTTCACCACAGGAATCTATATTCCAGTCCAGTACACTTCCATTAGGCCATACTGTTCCCTTCAGCAGCTAATGTGTAACAGGGGGACACGGATAATAACATCCAAGAACACCGGCACTTCTTTCTAATAATAAGAGGACACTGGGTTGTGTGTGTAGCAAACAGTGTCTCCATGCTAGCATCCAAGTTCATGCAGACATATTAGTATCCATAACAATCACTGGATTCATCACAAAGACTGTAATTATAAAAAAAATCCTTGAAGTTATAATCCTTAAGATTTTAATATATCAAACCACATTTTTAATAAAACTTACAGCCAGAATTTCTTTGACAATATAAATTCAATGTTTTGGAATTTTATAGCTTTATAGAATTTTATACCTCTCTGCAGTATAAAGTAGATTTTATTGTTTTGGTCAAGTATTGTTTCCTGCACAGAATTCAAAGTACACACACACGAGCAAACCAAAGGAGATGATCCATACACGTACTAGAAGTGATGGACACATCAAAAGCCAACAACATCCAATCATGAGTTCAGTAGTAAAAGGACAGATTACATAGTAGACTGTGTTCTTCAATATATTAAAACATGAATTTTATCAACCCACGTTTTGCACAAAGCAGATGCATAAGCTGTTCGTCTTTCTCTGAATATCTGATAAAGTAACATGTTTGCTGCCCTCGGGGCCAGTTCAACTGTAATTTCTAGGCTCTGCTGTACTTGCCATTACCACCAGTAACCACAGGTAATGCCAAATCAACCAGGACTGAAATATTACCAGTTAAAATTTAGTCATTTTCTCTTGTCCGCCTTAACAAGGTAGTCGTCAGGGGTTCAATGCTTTGCCCAAGGACATCACAGCAGAGGCAGGGTGTGAACGTGGGCGCTCCAGCTGGAGACTTACTCAGAAATACTCATCTCATAAAATTCAAGTGTGTTTCTATGTGTGTGGTAATGAGTGTGTGCATGATGGTGTCCATGTGTATGCAGCCATGTGTGTATGAGGGGTGGGGGCTTGTTTTGTTTGTGCTTGGAGTTCAGTAAAGAGCCGAGCTTGTTAGATGGTACAATTTTCAAACATGGTTCTAGTTATTTACAACAAGTGAAGTCCAGAAGGATTTTGGTGGTTTAACATTAATTCAGACTCAAAAATTTTAAATAACATATATTGATGAGTAGCTGCGCCCGTCAAAGCCCCCTGCCAGAGAGCAGCAATGCAGGGGTTAATGACAAAACGCAGACATTAAAAACTCATAACTCATCTCTGGAGAATTCATAGTTTACATTAATTACACCATAGCCCCTGGCAAACTGCATATCAAGCAGGATTCTGCAAACAAACAACTGGCATATCTAGTTACCATCAAGCAGTGAGGCAACAGGGGTCATATCGCAAAAGATTTAGGAGCAGGGAGGCCCAAGAGAGAAGGACAGGGTAAGCAATGGGAGGCAGTCAAACACAAAAACACACAATGCAGCATGTATTTTCTAAGTTATATTGCTGAAAATTATGCTTCCTAAAACTGACCATTTTTATTTATAAATCCTTCTTCAGCAGTTGCTCCATCAGCATGTAAAAAAGGTCTACAAGGTGTTTAGGGAAGCCAGCAGACTACAGTGATTAGGTGAAGCTAATATTGTACCTGCTTGTGATATGTGGGGTTTAAGTATTACAGCACACGCTGCCAGCGTTTCCTTGAACCAATGGTGTTTGCGTGTGTGAGTGAAGTTGAAGGGAAGGGAACAGCAGAGCAGCCTCGTCTGTGAGGCCTGACACCCATCAATGTCTGCCTGTTACATTTCTATGACACGCTCTGTCTCAGGAAGAGCAGCGGCAGTGGAGCAGTGGGAGAGAGGGGAGACAGGCGGAAGTGGGGTGGACAGGACTGGGTGGGGTAGAGGGGAAGTCAGCAGGAGGGCTAAAGCAGGACTGAAAGGTACAAGAAAAGGGTTTTATTTCTCACGAGTGATAACACGGCAACTTTCAGAATCACTGGATGTGTGTGCATGTGCACACACGAATGAAGAAGCTTTCAGAGGGCATGTGTGGAAAAATGCAACATGCCACAAGGCTGCATTTATTCATTCTGTACATACTCTATGCATCAGGGCTTTACAATCATTAAATGTTATTTTTTTCTATAAACATTAAGTGATGCTACTTATAGTCCTCCATTCGGATGATTGTTAAACCCGTCAAGAGTCCAGATGGTTTGAAGATCTGCTCTTCACTCAGAACACACTAAGAAAAGGAGGGGGAGCTATGAGGGGGAGCAGGAAAGAGCATGAGACTAGTAATCGTCTGTGTCTGTGCCCTCATGCCCCTAATCTATACATTCAGCAGTTATATTAAAGACTATGAGACATGAGAGAGAAACTTACTAGAAAGCCAGACCACACACAAAAACATAAAAACAAATCAAATCCTTGTTTTTTTAACACATTCCTATCCTCTCATGAACACATCCTCTGGCATTATGTGCAATAACTTTTTTCCTCTCCCTCTGTCTTCCATCTTATTATTCAAATGCAGAGGAAAAAGAGGAGAATAATGTCCTCCAGCCTCATGCTTGGCTAATTTGCAGGATAAACGAAACAACTTGTTTCTCAAGAAAGCCACCAGAAAAATGTTCGGAGTTGGTGGTAGTTGTATTTGCATGTTTAATATGAAACATGTGGGCTGGGTTTCTCAGCTCTTTGTCCTCCATCAGAGGGAGTCTTATGGGTGAGGGGTGGTGGGTGAGTTAATCTTTACTGATGTTTCTCCCTGGTGCGGACTTGGTCTGACCATGTTAAGCCATGCTGCCTCTATAGGGAGCCACTTCTACCCACTCTGTTCCTTTCCCTCTGTCATTGTCTTGACACTAATAGGATCTCATACAGACACACCTTTGCACAGAGGTGTACATTCACACAAATACACAGACATAAAACAAATGACATAAATATAAATGTAGGTGAATAATACCTCAATAAGCACAAATGAAAGAGCAATAGAGTGGTTTTCTCTTTATCAAATTAAATGAATGAATCTAAACTCTGTTTGATATATTTTCTGCTGACATCAACTTATCCGGAAATGCAGAGCATTGCCCCCAAAAAACTGTCATTCTATGCTATTGCTTCAAAAGTATGAGGCAGAGTGGGTCGGATCAATGCTGGCAATATCCCCTAGAGGACAGGCACATGGAAAAGTTGAAACCAGGCCTTCAAAAGACTGAGCTATTGATTGAATTGCTTTCCAAAGTGTTTTTCATCTCTGGGACTATACAAGGAGAATGCCGGCTGGTGTGCAGCCGGGTGCAGATGGCACGGCTGACCACCATAGAGAAAAAAAGAGAGAGTGAGAAGAGGAGGGGGAGAGAAAGAAACAGTGAAAGAGAGAGAGACAGACTCTTACCCCTGGCAGTGTTTTCTGTTCATGGAGGGCATTCTGGGCTTTGATGGCCGACTCTCGGGCGCAGTAGGTGAGGAATGCACAACCTGCAATAGAGGTAAACAACATATAAATCTCATAAGAATCAGATACATTAAAATGAGGATTAAACAAACATAAGTAACATATAAAACATTTAAAAACATCACAACATCGTGAGAGATTTAAGAGAAATATCAACAATGAATATTGGGACAGAAATGAAAATTACTACAAAGTAACTGGGCAATTACTGAGCAATTAAAAACATGAAGAAACCAGATATGTATAGAGGGCCTCACAAATTACTGAAAACACAAAACTCCTTGCAAATATTTCTTGGAAAAAATCTGAGCAAGTTAATGAAAACAGGCAAGCGTGCAATATACCAGGCTACATATGGACAGTTTTCTATGGTGGCATGGGGAGAGGAGCAAAAAATAACACCACAACATAAAAGGAGGAGATGAGCAGAGAATTCTTTGGATGAACTGCCAGGCCTGTCCAGCCTCCCCATCCCCAGTATGTCCTGTCCAAAGCTCCTAGCAGCCTGGCCTGGCCAGCATCCCCACCCTGAATGGTTGTGACAAGAGCGGAAGGGAGGAACAAAAGAAACAGGACTACAGGAGAGTATTGGGTGGGGGTGGGGGGTGGATGAGATCAGTGTAGCGATGGAGGAAGGAGGGAGGTATTCACAGAGAAGAAGACAGGACGTAGTGTTAAAATGTTAAAACTCTCCAGGGTGACTGCATTACTGCAAGATACAAGTATGCCTCCATGCATGCACACATACACACACACACACACATCCATCAAATTCACTGGAGAAGAGAAGAGAAGAGAAGAGAAGAGAAGAGAAGAGAAGAGAAGAGAAGAGAAGAGAAGAGAAGACAGCGAGGACGAGAGATGGAGAGAAACCAGATGGAGTATTGAGGCAATCATTTTCCCCCTGACTGTCTGAATAAATAGATTTGCTTGTGTTCTATTAATGAGGTTCATATGGGTTACCATGCATCATATTTCTGCCACTCTGAAGATGGTTTATTAGCAGCCACTGCATTTTGGATCTCATTTCAACAGCCACATGTATTCAGTGGTTGGTGATGTATTAAGTGTCTTTTCATGGACAATATTCATATCCGTTTTCCTTCTTTCTTGTGAGATCACTTTTACCCACAGAAACATTCACCATCCATTTTTGTCATGAGCATGTGTGTGCACGTGTGTATCTTTTTCGCAATTTCAATAACCCCTGCACTTTAGATATGTCACCACTGTAACCTCTGCAAGACTGCATGAAAAAGCTGGTTAAATTGCCTTGTCACTCATTGATCCATTGATTGACCTGTAACCTGTTTTGCCTTGCTGCTCTAAACCTAAAGTGTCTGCACACGTTTGTAAATGCTTTCACATCTGCACATTTACATACAACTAGTATTTGACCACTCTTATGAATCTCATGACTCTCATGAATCTCTTCCTCCTGATTTGGACAGTCCCTGGTCAATCCTGCCTTGCTTTTCAGAGTAAGAAAGACAGACAGTGATGGAGTCTGTACAAGGTCATGACCTTTGAAGTGGCTGACTGTAGTACTGGTGTCAAGACACAGCCCTCCCCATAGCCTCCCTTGTCCCAGCACCCCTAACCTAATGATTTCCAATGGCCACCAAGCAAATCACTCAATCACTCACACTGCTGTCTAATTCCCCTTCTATTTTCTGCGTCAGCTTGTAATGAAATACTAAGACTGTGGAAATGCCATTGTTGTTTTGGGTTTGTTTGTTTGTTTGTTTCTCAAATGGGTGAGGGTAATAGGAGGGAATGGCTCCATTTTGGTGGTTGTTTTTCTCCCTTTTACTCTCTCTCTCTGGGCTTGTTGTTGTTGGTTTACTTGACAAATGCTGGCCCCATCTCTGAATAAGAAACAAGCATTTTGCATTACAATCACAAACACGATTTATTTGTTAATGTGCAATGCACTGGGCATTGAGAATAAATTAATAACAAACACAACACTGGCAAACAAAAGAGAAACATGAACTCCATTTAAATGTGATTCTGTGCTCTTTAATGTATGGCTTAATAAGAATTTGCAGGCCACAGGCGAAAAAGCTTTAACAACTCCATAATAGGAATCCAAACACGTACAAATTGCTACTGCTGCATTGCATACCAAGTGCAAAATTGTGTGTGTGTGTGTGTGGGGGGGGGGGGGGGGGCGGGGCATGATGAAATTGTTTGAAACACAACAAAAAGCCACTGTAATCGGAGCCTGCTGACACAGCAGTGGGGGAAGCCTTCCCACTGTGAGGAGATGATCCTCTGCATCATCTGATAGAAACCTAAAACAGCCTGATCTCACACACTGATTTCAGCTCCAGAGAGAAGAAATTCCTGCTTTCCCCTTTGCACCCCTTCATTCTTCCCTCCTCTCCTTTCCCGACTTCTTTCTCTTCACCAATGCCAACTGCACTCTACTCATGTCCTATTTCTTAATGATAATTTTTAAGTGTGTAAAGTGTGCGTACTAGGAAATAGGGCTGAGGCTCTCCATCTCCACTGTGTTGAATTGGCATGTAATTAAAGAGTCTTACATGGAAGAGAGAGAGTGAGTGAGACAGAGTGTGCAGTGGAACGTACTGTATAGCTGCGGTGACAGAAGCCATTTACATTCACTGTGGCCCAGGCTCTCCATTACCAAAACTATGGATCAATCTCTAGAATGTGTCTAGTATGTGTTTCAAGTTTACAGGTCCTGTATATTGAAACACACACATCTGATCCTGGCCCTCTCTCTAACCATGTGTAAGCACTTGTTTTAGGCACACAATTAACACGATTACTGGCCCAAATCCATATCGTATACAAAAAATTGTTAGTACCTAACAAATGAATGTACTGCTCTATGCTAACAGGAAATGATACTTGTGTCGACAGACATCGCTTCTCCACTGCCAATTTAAATTTCATGAAGAGAAAGTAAAATGTTTACTTAGATTTCAAAATGTTTAGATTTAATACTTAATTTTGTTTTCCGGGGTGCTCCTGGAGCGGTATCCCTACCATACACAATTTGTTTTTCTGCAGCTGTGAGCAGCTCCTTAATTTCCTTTGAGCAATGCTCTGTGGGACATGAATGTCAGTTAGCGTCAGAAAATCAAGCCGATTTTGAATGCAAACTGACATCTTTGATTGCACTTTATTTTGTCATACACTTAGTGCATTCACACTTGAAAACTTGCTTAAAATCAGTATGCACTATCACATGACCAGAGGACAGATACAGTCATAGATATGAACACACAGATATGAACATACTCCACCTACTACATGTTTAACTGCTGTCATCCTCATCAGTCCAAAACACTGATGAAATAGACATTTCAATCCTGTCACCTCTGTTAAAGACTTTTTTTGTCAAACACAATGTCAATATTGGACAATTCTGTAGGGTGTCCTGCAAATATAGTTTAGACATGATCACAGCTATGAAAATGAAACTCAGCTCCTAGAGATCAGTTACAGTAAAGTACAGCCAACACTGACATCCACACTCTCCTCCTTTAGTAGCACAAGGCTTCTACTGGCATTAACAATGGGGCATGGTGCTTTATGGGGTCAAACCACCAAGGTAAGTGAAACCTTTACCAGTGTTGTTCCTCTTATATGGGAAAGCATTCAGCGCCACATCATGGGCTGTGATCATTTGCACACAGTGCAGCTACATTATCCCAAAATTGGCACATAAGCAATGAGTTTTATGAAAATCAGTGTTAAAACTACTGATATTTTGCCCCCAAAGCAAAAACATTGTCCCTCATTCATTCCCATAAATAATCTAGTTTGTGGATTCATATGAAACAAAACATTGCTGGACCTAAATGGAAATTGATTGAAGGCCAGAACTTATTATCCTTAATCAATTACCTTATAAGACTACTTACAATATAAGCATTGAATAGATTCTCTTGGAAAATATAAATATACATTATATGAATGAAATGAATCACTATAATAAAATCACCCTCCATATCCTGCCATCTACAAGTATCTCCTTTAACTCAAAATACACAGAACAGTCACCCCATCATATGTAAAACATCGACTGTTTTATTATATTGTATTATATTGTATATTTACCAACTTCCTGAAGATACAGCTAAACACTGGGAAAACGCGCGCGCGCACACACACACACACACACACACACACACACACACACACACACACACACACACACACACACACACACACACACACGGGGGGGCTATAGGCCTATTACTTGAACAGAAACAGTTAGCTAACTGCGCTCGTAGGCGTACAACTAATTGATTTCGCCTCATGACTCACCAACTTCAAAGAGCTTTCAGCGTATTTTGGTGAACAGCTCCTCCTGAGGGCACAGCTGTGAGCTCCCGACAGAGAAGGGTCTTATTTCACATATTTGACAGTGCAGTGGATACTCACTGTTTTAACAACATTTACGTTAATTTTTGTTTGTTTGTTTTTATCGCTCGGTGGCAGTTACAGTGGCACGTCGCAACTCCAGAGTGGCACCTGTAACAATCAAACGCTGCTGTCACCTGATTGGCTAATTCAGATTCCAATGAGCTTTATTGGCAACAGTGTCATTGACAAAATTGCTAAACTGCATATTGGTGAATAATTCAGTTTTACCCATGGTTTTACCCTACACAAGAAAACTATAGATCATAACAGATCATTACAAGAGAACAGATACACTTTAGATTGAGGCAATTTTGTTTCTCTCTTGCCAGTTAGTGAGCAATAATAACAGGGAGGAGCTAACAAAGTTAAATCAGCAGCACAATTAGCTGTTTAGAGTTTAAACAAAGCTGTTTTTGACCAGTGAAATTGGTTAAGCTATATTATGTCACGTGTGTGTCTTGAAAGTTTTGCTGTAAATCTTTATCTGTGGTGGCATCGCTTCACTGCATAACTTCCATTTCCTAACTCCTAGTGCTAAATCCAAGTGCTGTTTCAGAAAGTCATTCATTTACAAAATGGTCAATAATGTCTGTGGGCTCACAAACTTAAACAATGGTCT